GGCTAGTCCCATCCACAGGGTTTTGTTATCTGTTTTGGGAGAGTTTTTTGTTGTCTTGAGACTTCAGTTCTGTTCTGAAATAAACTGTCTTTAAGGTCCATAGGTCAGATAACTATAACAAAACTTTGACTTGGAGAAAGGTCCCTTTTGCATCTGAGCATTGAATTTAAAAGGAAAAAAAAAAAATTAAGACAGGGTCTCATGTAGCCCAAGCTGGCTTTAAACTCAGTGTGACCAAGGATGACCTTAAACTCCTGATCTTGCCTCCTCCTCCTGAGAGCCAGGATTACAGGCAAGGTAAACCACACTTGGTGTGGACTTCACGAATGCTAAGCAAGCACTTGGCCAAGTGAACTCCATCCCAGGCCCCGAGCACGGAATCCTGCAATGGAGAATTCCAATCCTCACAGACTGACAGACTCCTGTAGAAGCTTGGTCCCCAGCTGTTGGCACTGTTTGGGAGGGCCTAGTGTGAGGAAGTTAAGTCACACGGGAGGCGTGTGCTTGAAGCTAGCCCCTTCCTCTCTGCCACTGTGAGATGAGCAGCTCCTCCACACACCCCTGCTGGGCCTTGACATAGGCCTCAAAGCAGCAGAGCATCTGACCATGGCCTGAAACCAAAAGACATCTTTCCTCCCTTTAAGTTGATTCTCTCAGGTATTTTGTCAGTGAAGGGATCTCACAAAAGACCCAAGTTCAGTTCCCAACACCCATGGCTTACAACCACCCTTAACTCCAGCGCCAAGGGATCAGATAGCTCTTTTGGCCGCCAATAAAAATAAAGTAAAAATAAGTATCTCTAAAACCACAAGCATATAACCCTATGAAGAGAACATGACAAAAATTCATTTTTATGCATGACAAAATAAATACACCGACACACAAACTCAGAAAAGAAAAAAAAGATGCCTGTTGGCTGGGAGGTTTGCAGCAAAGGTTGTTTGGGATAACTGAGGAACCACAAGACTATCTATAATTATAGGGACCTGTCCTGGAAAAGAGGCTCTACAAAGAACCCTAAAACCTTAATTTAAGCATCCTTCTTTCCCCACACCCTAGAACCAGAGCCGGCAGCAAATTCAGCTATTGTTTGTTACGAGCATAACACAGGTGATGTTTATGACATATGAATGCTCAGCTCTCTGGCTCCAATGTGCCCACCCCTTCCAGACATCAGCTGGAATGCACTAGGTTAACTCAGAAAGGCAGCAGAGTCCACTCCCAGGCTGCAATTCCACCGGAGGCCAGATGTGGTAGCCAGTGCTAAAGCTAGCATGGGAGAGAAGCCAGACAGCTCCGGGGAAGCAAGGTGAAATCAATAGGAAGCCTGCAGCAGGAATGGGCAGGACCGGGGTAATAAATGGTCAGCTGGACCCTGCATCCTGGGTGAGCAAGGGTTGTCTCTATTTGACATGTAAATATTGGGCCTCAATCACTCGCCCACTCTAGGTTTCATAATACCTGAGGGTATACCAATTATGCAAGAGCTCTTGTGAAATTCTCAAAATCAGTTTTTCATTTTCAGCAAGGAGACAGAGGCCTGCCATACTGTCAAGCAAACCCATGATCACTTTCATCTCAGGAAGGCCAGATACACTGGAAATGAATCATATTTGATAAAACAGTTTAGCAAAAATGTGTCCCAAAGGCTGAGAACAAAAAAAAAAAAAAAAAGGTACACAGCTGAACAGGTAAAAGAGTATAAAACAAAATGCCAGTTTCTTTCTTGAAGACTGATTACAAATTTCAGCTTTGAGTACAATTTCAGCTATGCATTGGACTGCAATATAGTGCGATCTCCACCAAAAACTGTTCTCTGCCTGAGCCGGGCATAGACCACACATCTATAATCTGGGCACTTGGGATACTGAGGCAGGCGGACGACCATGAGATCAAGGCCAGCTACACAGGGAGCTCCAGGACATTCTGGTCTACACAGGGAGCTCCAGGACAGTCTGGTCTACACAGGGAGCTCCAGGACAGCCTGATCTATAGTGAGAGACACTCTAAAAGTTCTCTCACCAAGGACCATAAGGGAACATAAAAGGAGAGGAATCCCAAGGGAGGCTAAGTGGGAAGCTAAGGCCATGCAGGAGGCAGGGCTGGTGAAATAAGGGGTTTCGAGAAAGACCACCTGACACTCCTGCAGAGACAGATGACTTAAATATCAGGGTAAGGCAGCCTCTGTCTGCACATGCTTCCATCAGGTCCCTGTCTGTAGCCTTGGGCACACCTTTCAAGGTGGCCGGGGTGAGGGCTTATAGCGTCAGGCTGGATCTGTGATGTGAAGCCATCATCTAAGCCGCATCTCTCCTTCAGCCTGAGCCTGTGGCTGGCCCAGAGACTCGCAGCTGGCTTGTGACAGGTTTCCAACCCCAGATGCCAATCTAGGGGCCTTTCCCCACCACAGTCTTTCTGTAGCAATGGAGCAGGGTCACACTGTGGGTGGGCAGGACACCAGCAAAGGACACTACAGTGAAATCCACAGTGACTCTGAAGGATGAGTGAAGCTGCAACCCAACAGGGGCAGCTTCTTAGGGGCACAGAAGGGGAGTAAACAAGAGCAAGCTTATACTCCCGAGGAAACATAATCTGTGATTATAAATATTTCATGGGCAAAGAAAGTACTGGCTGTGGGCATGGGGGGGCAACAAATTAGATCTCCCTTTGCAAAGTGATAGGACAGCTGGAAGGGCAACAAGGCTGGGCTATTCTGGGCAGTGTGCTACAAGGGCCTGCGTCACTCGCACTGGCCACTCGGCTGTGCTGAAACCACAGGCTTCTAGTGGTCAGCACAGAACACCTTGGGAAAGCGCTTAAGTCCAGAGGGGACAGCAAGGATAGAGCGGCTCAGAGGACACCAGTGAGTCTCAGCAGCCAGGATGCAGGTGAGGGGGCACAGCAGAGCAGCCAGAATCCTGAAAACACATGACAGGGCAGAGGGAGGGGAGGGCCCAACTCCAGCTCAGCAAATGGCCAGAGCTGGCCTGTCAAGAGCAAAGGTCCAGGTGAAAGCAGGTTGGGTCAGGCTGAGGACAATCACTGCTTTCCTTTGCCCCAAGACAGAGGCCTCATCCACCCCACCCCCACCCCACCAGTCCACCTTCCAAGCTGCAGAGACAGCAGGGAATTAAGAGCCCACTAAGTCCCAGCCACCAGGTGCAAACAAACCAGCAGAATACAAGGTGTTGGTGAGTGCCCTAGTCCAGCTGGTCCACCCTACAGCTCACCATAGCAGTCACACCGCACCAATTCATGCAAAGGGACCGATTAGGAGGGATGGGTATTGTCCCAAAATACCCAGAATCCCTTCACACAAACTTAGACAGAGGAGTTCTGCAAGCAGGACACACTTGGGTTGGAAGACACAAGCTGAGTTTCTAACTCCTCATATTCAGGCAGGCAGTGCCCCCACCACCTCTACCCCCACCAAGGTCTGCCCTGAGGTACGCAGCAGAATCAGAATGGCAGCCTATAGGATCACAGATAGAGACCTCAGCAACAGTAAAAATGAGAGCTGGGATGCCAGGGGAAGACTCTGAATGGGAAGTCATAGACCCATCTGGCCTCTGAAACCGTCCTCACCTGCAATGGGACCAATGCTGGCAAACCCAAGGGCTGTGAGAAGCACTAAGAATATGTGCATACCTGGATGTCTCCATAGTGCACTACTGCTGTAACTTCAGACTATACCCCTTCCCAGCACTTGGGAGGCAGAGGCGGGCGGATCTCTGTGAGTTCGAGGCCCGCGTGGTCTTCAAAGAGAGTTCCAGGACAGCCTCCAATCCTACAGAGAAACCAAAAAAAGAAAAAAAGAAAAAACTATACCCACCAATCTGCTTGGCCCCTCAGAGGCACAGACACTTACCCACCTACCACTACTTCCTTCTTAGACCCTGAGGCCTCCCCAGCAGCACCCTAGCTCAAGTGTTCTTCATGAGTGGAATCCAGAAATCCGAGATTCATCTTTGGCCTTCTCCACTTTATCAGCCCATTGCCAAACTTACTTATTCAAGGCATCTACTTCTGCCTGCACCCCAGATCATGGTAGCATCTTACAGGACTACTGCAGTCTGCAGTCTGTCCTCTTCAATCCCTCTTTCCCAAGGAAAAGCCAAACCACCTCACCTCCTTTCCTAGATACCCATCCATCACAAGCATTTTAATGTATCTGGATAAGCAAAGCCTCTTTCCCACAGCTACGGACTGCTGCGTAAATGGAGGTCCACTCCTCTCCTGACCTGCTATAGCCAGATCTGAAGTGGCCCAAAGGCTCACATGTTAAAGGCCTGGTATACCCAGGGCAAATGCACAAGCTCCTTTCTCCCCAGCAAATTCCCACTCCTTTAAAAGGACATAAGTGTATAGCTCATTAATTATTCACAGATATAAACACTCATCAACTGCTAAGTCTAACCCAACCCAATGCTCCCTCCTGCTCCTTCCCAGTCCACACCACACCCAGCCCCTCAAGTAACCCTTACTTGGGCTTCTATCACAATGCCCATTTAGATGCAACTGGGGCAACCCCTTCTCCAGGACAGCACCAACCTTACTGCAGGTCCAACCCTTCGTAATACGCCCTTGTTACACTTAAGCATTGCATTTGTTAGAGGAATTACTGGGTCCCCGAGGACTCCCTTTGTAATAGTCTTAAGTGCCAGGAGGACGAAAACCACACCTACTTTCACTCACCTTTGTGCTCCTGGACTGGCACATGCTGTCACAATACAGGAAACAGTCAATATGGAGTGCTTCCCGCTGCCAGGGACTGCTTTGAGCACTCACAGGCACTGGCTCTTCTAATCTTCATATCAATGGCATCAAGTGGGCACCAATATCATGCATCACATGGGAGCTGTGTCTCAGAAGAATAAACCACCTTGCCCGACACCGTGATGGGGTTAAAGGGTGGAGCTTTGACTCAAATCCAGGCAGCCTGGACCCACAACCTGTGAACCCCCATGCTGGACCCCTCAGAGGCCAAGAAGACACTTTAATAAGTGGCTATAGTATCTTTTAATTTTTTTTTTTAATTTTATGTGCAGGGAGTGTTCCGCCAGCACATACGGCTGTATACCACATGAACGCAGTCCCCACTGAGGCCAGAAGGGGGCATCAGATCCATCAGAACTAAAGTTACAGAAGGTTGTGAATCTTCATAGGAGTGCTGGGAATAGAACCTGGCCCTCTAGAAGAGTAGCCATCTCTTTAACCCCACAGTATCTTTAACAAAATATTATGTGTGTTGACGAGATTCTATTAAAGAAACTAAGGGAGTCCTTACTCCCCACAAGGAGACCAACAAGTGAAGAAGAGAAGAGCAACGGTTGTTGAATCACTGAATGACCCATGATTGTGAGCTGTAAAGAAAGCCCAGGCCACTCCGGGGGTCGAGGGAGGAAGCCAGTATTCAACTGCTGTTACCCTCCTCACAACCGCAGCTCAGACAGCATAGGAAGAAAACACACATTAAAACATTTATTCTGTTACCAGTGTGAAGGGAATGGTTGCATGGCTCAGAGCCGCTCTGCTCACACAAAGTTCTGAGCTATGGCCAACACCTTGGAATACTCGCCTTCCTTCTTGCGAAGGCTGGTTGGGATAGGTGTTTTAATTCGAGTCCCCACAGGGTTCCCATTGTCCTCAATGAGGACCACATTGTTGGAGTCAAACCTTGGGGTCATTCGGGAGCCAGGCATGCGATGTCCCACAATGAGCGCTTTCTTCTTCTGTCCCCTGATGGCCAGCAGGATCTGGTCGCCGACTTTACCCACCCCACTCTTGTTATAGACGTGGATGCAGCGAGGAGGCCGATGGTACGGGGTGTTCCCCAGGGCACTATTGTCCACTACACGCACCCGAGTCATCTTCTGGATTGCATCGAGGCTCCTAGAGGTGCTAGTGGGACAGAAAAAAGTCTGTGACATGGACCACAAGGCACAGGTCTCAGAAAGCCAGGAGGTGCATGTCAGCCACATACATATACATATATGTACATGCTGAGAAGAATGTGACCCAGAAAACAAAAAGTCAGGGGTTTGAGAAAGCCTTAACTACCCATTTCCTTATATTTGAGAACTTCTAAGACCACCGGTTGGCTGTAATCCCAATAGCTGAGAAGCTGAGGCAGGAGGACCACAGGTTTGGCCAGCCTGTGTTCCTCAGTAAGACCCTCTCACAAACCCAAAAGGACTCCAGTTTTTCTAGGACAACAAACTTCATGGCATACATCATATACAGACTTTGGTTTCTGAAAGTTGAGGAGGGCTAAAGGAATCTCTACAGGCAGCCTCTGCCAATCCTGCAGAACCTGCTTCCCTGGGTACAGCCCTTCCCTGCTCTCACAGACTATGGAGACTACCCTGAAGGAGCCCTGACACAACACAGCAGAAACCATCTAGGCAACAACTTCTTATCACTACCAAAGGGGCTTGGCTTGGCTTTTGAAGATGGGTCTTCCAGATTGCCCAATGTCCTGAGAGCAGGGATCCTCCTGCTTTAGCCTCCAAAGGTGGGAAGACAGAACTACAGCTTGCAGCACACTGCCCCCCAGATCCTTTTCAGACACTATTACTAGCAGACCCAGGTGGAGTTTCTGTCTCCCGATGCTCACCCTAAGTGTGGTTTTCTCTAGCACAATCCCAGGGTCTTCTAAACCATTTCTCTACTGGCCTATTCCCATGACCTCCAGCTAGTGATTCCACCTCGGGGCTGTGCTGCTCCTTTGGGTAGCCTTGACTTGCCACTGCTGAGCTCCCTCCAAAGTGTGCTGCACACACTGAAAAGTCAGGAGGTCCCAAGTTTGCAATCCACTCACACCCACTGCTGCTGCTGTGAAAGGCTCCCAGAAACGCCTTCCTAGGGGCCCTCACCTCCTTCCCTGGACAGCTCTACTCAGACCTGACCAACACTCACCAAACCTCTCTGCTCTACTACTTCACTCATGTTCTTTTTAAAAAAACATGTTTTACAAACTACTTTTACTTACTGTGTGTGTGTGTGTGTGTGTGTGTGTGTGTGTGTGTGTGTACGCTCGCACATGACTGGAGGTAAGAGGACAACTTACAGGAGTTAGTACTCTCCTTCCACCATATGGGTCCTATGGATGGAACTCACCCAGGTCACCAGGCTTGATGACAGCCAACATCACTGCTGAGCCGCTTTGCCCATTCTTACCACGTCCTGTCAGAGTTAGCTGCCTCACAGTTCATTTCTGAGACCTGCCTTGAGGACTGTTCTGCACTAGAAGCAATTCCCACCCATGTCTGCAGAATGTAGTAAAGACAGGCAGCTTGCTTGGGATCTCAAAGTGGAAGGCACTGTGGCTGGGGCGGGGCCATCCTGACTGGGTAAGGAAGCATGTGCTGACAAGAACTGTACAATTTTGTAATTAAAGGACAATTTTGCTGGGCTTCCTGGTGCATGAAAACAATCCTGGTTACATAGAATAGGCAGGACGATGGCAAGTTCAAAGTCAGTGTGAGCTACAGAGTGAGCTCAAGGTCAGCTTGGAAAACTTATGGAGATCTTGTCTCAAAATAAAAGGTAAAGCAGATGGCTGGTAGCACACACTTGTAACCCTAGTGCTCTGGAGACAGAAGTGGGAAGGTGGCCAGCCTGGTCTACATGGAAATACCCAGACCTGCTTCAACTCTCTAGTGAAACTCTGTTGTATAAAGCAAACAGAATCAACAAAAATCAAAATAAATGTACAAACAGGGTTGGTTGGAAACCCTGGATTCAATCCAGTCTTAAAAAAAAAAAAATATTCAGGGCTGGAGAGATGGCTCAGTGGTTAAGAGCACTGCCTGCTCTTCCAAAGGTCCTGAGTTCAATTCCCAGCAACCACATGGTGGCTCACAACCATCTGTAGTGAAATCTGGTGCCCTCTTCTGGCCTGCAGACATACATGCAGGCAGAACACTATACATAATAAATAAATAAATCTTAAAAAAAAAAATCATTCTTAAAAAGGTTTAGGGTGTTACAAGCCTTTAATCCCAGCACTCAGGAGGCAGAGGCAGGTGGATCTCTGTGAGTTCAAGGCCAGCCTGGTCTACAGAGCTAGTTCTAGGACAGCCAGGGCTACACCGAAAAACTGTTTCAAAAAGCAAAAACAAAAACAAAAAAACTCTGGGGTCAGCAAGATGGCTCAGCAGAGAAAGGTTGTTACCACCAAGCCCAACAACCTGAGTTCATCCCCCAGACCCACACAGGAGAGAAACAACTTCTGCAAGATGTCCTTGGACTTCTACTTCCAAATGTGACACCATGACACACCTGCATGCCCAAATCTCTCTCTCTCTCTCTCTCTCTCTCTCTCTCTCTCTCTCTCTCTCTCACACACACACACACACACACACACACACACACACACACAGTGATTTTTTTTTTTCAAGATAGGGTTTCTCTGTGTAACAGCTCTGGCTGTCCTGGAACTAGCTCTTGTAGACCAGGCTGGCCTCGAACTCAAGGAGATCCCCCTGCCTCTGCCTCTCAAGTGCTGGGATTAAAGGCATGTGCCATCAAGGCCCAGCTAGAGTGGTTTTTTGTTTTGTTTTGTTTTGTTGTTGTTTGGTTTTATGTAAGGGGTTTTAAAGCTCTGGGGATGACAGGATCAGAGGTGTGACACTAAATAAGTAAGAGGCAGGGACTGAAGAACAGCTTCCATCACAGGCCACACTTCCCTGGACCCAGGACAGAATCTGCACCACACCCCCCCCCCCATGCTGACTAAATCCCAGCTCCCACTGGCCCATGACACCTTCCCTGAGGTCACCCATTCTGGTCACCACAAGATCCAGCCAGGGTGGCAGGCTTACCCAGGGACCCTTCTTAAGAACAAGATGTCAAGCATTACCTGAAGCAGCGCTGGCCAAATGCTCTGCTGACATGGGCAAAGGGGCCCCAGAGCCCAGTAAGAACAGCCATGGGATCCCAAGATGGCAAACCTGCAGGAAAGGGGACAGAGCCTGTTTTATGTGGGGACTTGTGTGGGAGAGGACACTTAAGCACAAGTTCATTAGTCACTAAATAAGAATCTTAGTGTTTAAATGACACACGATGATTAGACAAAACTCCAACTCCAAATTCTGCTGAGTCAAAGCTGACAGTCCTACAGTTTCCCCAGGCAACAGAAAACAGGAGTCCTTTAGCACCTGGAGCGGGAGTACAGACAGTTGTGAGCTGCCATGTGGGCGCTGGGAATTGAACCCTGGGCCTTTGGAAGAGAAGAGCAGCCAATGCTCTTAACCACTGAGCCATCTGTCCAGGCCTCCCACCCCTTTTTTTTGTTTTGTTTTGGTTTTTTTCAAGACAGGATTTCTCTGTAGCTTTGGAGCCTGTCCAGGAACTCACTCTGTAAATCAGGTTAGCCTCGAACTCACAGAGATGCACCTGCCTTGCCTCCTGAGTGCTGGCAAGCCTGGGCCACCGCCACCAGGCTCCCCTGAACATCTTCTTGACACCTGTGTGCCTTTTGAAACCCACATCAGCACCCTGGAAGAAAGTAGATTAGCCAGGCTTGGTAGCACAGGCCTGCAATCCCATCTATTCTGGGTAGGAGGATCCACATTCCACACCTGGCTGGACTACAGAGGGAGTTCTAGGTTGGCCTGGGTAATTCATCTAGAATTACCTGTATTAAAAACAATTAAGCCAGGTATAGTGGCTCACACCGGTAATCCCAGCACACTGAAGGCTGAAGCAAGGCTGGAGGATGAAAAGTTTAAGACCTGTGCTACGTAGTGAGCTCGAGGCCAGCCTGGGCTACATGAGACTCTGCCTGAAAGAAATTATTGAAAGACAAAACAAGCCAGGCAGTGGTGGTGCACACCTTTAGTCCCAGCACTCAGGAGGCAGAGGCAGGCAGATCTCTATGAGTTCAAGGCCAGCCTGATCTACAGAGTGAGTTCCAAGACCACTAGCTACATAATGAGACCCTGTCTGGAAAAATAAAGCAAACAAACAAAAAGACAAAACAAAATATGGAGCTGGAGAGATGGCTCTGTGGTTAAGAGCACTGGCTGCTCTTGCAGAAGACCTGGGCTCAATTTCCAGCACCCACATGGTGCCTCACAACTCTCTGTAACTCCAGTTCCAGGGGTCAGGCATCCCTTCTGGCCACCTTTGGTACCAGGCACACATGTTGTGCACCTACACATATGCAGGCAAATGCAGGTATGCATGAAACAAAATTATGCTTAAAAGGGTTGAGCTTAGTGATGGTAGTATGTTTGCATGCACCCTGGATCAAATCCCTACTGCTGAAACAGGGTGCAAATGTGATGATCTAAGCAGCTTCTGAAGTCACCTGTCACATATCACCCTTCCCCGAAACGTGAATGCCAGGACACCTGTAGAGCCCAAGGTCGGCAAAGAAGAGTCAAAGCCACCCTTGCCAAGGCACTGACCACAGTCTATATTTGGGTGAGTCTCCCCCACAGCACTGTGGCATGGAAAACTTCCACACAGTACACAGAGCTACAGCACCTAAGTCACAGAACTGGGACACATAAACACTGAAGTCAAAAGGTCCTTTAGGGCACGAGCCTTGCTGCACCATGGCAAGGAAAAGCCTGCCACCAACCAAATGGGGATCCCAGCTATAAGCAGGCCAGCTCTTCCACCCAGACACCTGGCCACAGAGGGCACTGTTGGAGAGCCCCAGAGCTGTGCCTATGCACTCAAGTATTTACACACAGCTTTGCCTAGTGAGGCTTCAACAGGCCTGCCTCAGATAATACTATTTAATAAGGGTGGGAGAGAATTTACCAGTCACTTCCACAGAAATACTTGGGCATTCCACAAGCCTGCCACTTAGCACGTCGCCTCAAATCCCATCACTCAGTGTTCTCCTTGGGGCTCCTGTGAAGTGCTGGCCCACTCTACAATCAGAAAAGTTGCAGCAAATGGCAGCTAATCCAGGCAACCCTGAGCACTGGACACACAGGGGCCAACAGAAGAGCCCAGCTTTACTAACCAAAGATCCTGGGCCAGTGGGCTATGCAGAGTGCCCAAAACAGGCTGGGCGCCCTGTGCCTATCGGCTCTTTTCTTTTTCCCATCTCATGTCACAGGTGAGGAAACTGAGCTACACAGAGCACTATACACAGCCCCACAACCAGTTAAGGGAAGAACCAGAACCATACCAGCCTTGACCTTGGGACCTTCCTCAGCACCCCACAGGCTCTGAGATGTTCAGTCCATTTTCTTGATGAACCTTTGCTGTGGAGGTTAAAGCAAAATGCTGTGCATTGTCATCTCACTTAACTCAGACACCACTGTGCAGTGCATACTTTTACTGACCCCACTGTGTGTGTACAAACACACACACACACACACACACACACACACACACACGGTCAGAGAAGTAACTTGACCAAGGTGAGACAGCGAGGAGTAACAGGGCTGAAATTTGAACCACAGTAGTCTGCTTATGAAACCTTAAGTATTTCTCCAACTGTTAACACGTCCTAGTTCCATCAAGAATACTGACATTTGCCAGGTGTGGTGGTGCATGCCTTAATGCCAGCACCCAGGAGGCAGAGGCAGGGCTTGAGACCAGCTTGGTCTACACAGCAAGTTCCAGGACAGCCAGGGCAATAGATAGGCCTTCATCTCAAAAAAAAAAAAAAAAAAAAAAAAAAGGACACTTCAATGTCCACTTAATTGGTAGGCGCCTTCACTACTGCCTGCTGAGATTCTAACATACCAGGAGAGGATTCTCTTCCATCCAACCCAAGGTTTTGGCTGTGTCCTGTGGTGCTGCGGTTGCACACAGCACCTTGAGCCTGTCTGTCGAGTACTCCACAGCCAAGTGACATCCCATCTAAGCTCTAAAGACAGGAATATAGGTAGCAATATAGGTAGCAAGAAGGGCTCATGCTCTAAGCATAACTAAAAATGGTACAAAACCACCACAGCTCTGAAGGGCAGCCACCTGCACCTCTAGTCCCAGCCAATCTGTGCTATCTGATGCTAGCTGGCCTTCAGGATTGCTCCCAGAGGAGAGGGACTCCTTGGGTATTCAAAATTAATCGAATGCAGTTGACATGGTTGATCCAGAGGTCACAGGAACCTCATCTCTGCCCTGGGCTCTTAGAATGCTAGACCAAGGACTGCAGAAGTGCTGAGGGGTTCCTGGAAGCTCCTGGTGGAGTACCACCACAAATTCCAGTATTCAAGGAACCTTCTAACCACTAAAGAATGGGCCCAGGCCTCCCTTAGTGCCTGCTTTGGGCTGGCCCATGCCCCTCTCTGCCTACTGAGTCTGAACCATTTCTTCAAGTGAGTTGCAGCCCCATCTACACGGGGACAGCCTCGTACCCTATGCTGATGGAAATGTCACTGAGGCAATGCTCAGTATGCTTCGGGATTGAACCTTGCATATGCTAGGACAGTAATCTACCGAGCCACATCTCGGCCCTACATTGATTTTGCCACGCTAGAAACTGAACCTAGGGCCTCAAAAATGATAGGCAAGCCCTCTACCACAGAGATACAGCCTCACTCAGTTGCCCAGACATGCCTTGAACTTGGCATCCTTCAATCCCAGTCTCTTTGGTCGCTGGGATAGCAGTAGGCCTGTGACACCAGGCCATTAGGTCCAGTTTATGGTAATTCCAGATATCCCTCCACATTCAACTTCTTGCTACTTACTCCCCCATTCAGAAACTTACAAGGACATCTCACATGGCCACAGGAACTGGTAGGACAGGGACTCTCTACACCCTATCCTCAAGCACAAGACTTCAACTCTTCCTAAAGACTCTTCCCTCCAGGGAAGACTTCGACTTTCCTAAAAGGCCCATGTTACTCTCACTGTTACTAATGGATTTGACAGTAACCTCTGACCTCAACCCCAGTTGACTTAGCAGTTTTCCATGGCCCTAAGGCACAGTCACATTCCTCAAATGACAACTGCTTCTCCCTGAGAAAGATCTCAGGTCCCAAAAAACAGCAGGAGTGCAATAAATAAATTAGGTGTCACCACCCCCATCTGACACTGGCCCCTCACAGGCAACCCTTCTAGGAGTTCCCTGGTGCCAAGATGGTACTAGCGGTGGGGGAAGTCCATGCTTTGTCTGCAGACCCCTGGAAGCATCTCCCCGTCTAGTATGGGCAATGCCCTCATCAGTAAATAACCGCTCCAGGGCTATGGGACAGCAATGGACTTCAAAGAAACTCAACAGGCCTTTACATTCTCTGCTAGCATGAGTCCATCCCGCAGACACAGGACCTGAGGCTTGGCAGACCTGTTGGCCCACACAGTCCTCAGTATTTCTTCCTTTACGACACTCTCATTCAAATGGAGCTGGTTTATTTGGAAGATTCCAGTGTCAGAGGTGGCCTTTCATGTGATTTCCTGGTCAACTCAGAGCACTATTCTCCCATTTCAGAGTGTGAATCACAACCTCTCCTTCACAGCGCAGGGTGGAGATGATTTACTGTCTTCAGAGACACATTGGTGGTGTCCACTAGCCTTATCATATGCCGTCCCAATGGAATGCATGCTCCATGGAACCAGGGCCCAATACCTGCCCTGCTTAGTACTCTGGGGTTCAGAGAGGCTACTGACACGTGGCTACAGCCCCGTGTCAAGTGGACAGAACTGATTTGCAGTCCAATGTGGATCCCAGAGTTTCCATGTTCTGTGCGCTTGTGTTTCCACTTTTTTCGTGCACCCAGACATCTGATATTTAAGAGCAGTAGTTACCAACCTGT